GTGTGTGTTTGTGTGTGTGTGCAACACCACTGATGACACACATAGATGCGTACACACACTAATACACACATAAAGGCCAAACACACACATAAGAATGTGCAAACATGTGTCATACAGACACACAGGCATATTCATCCGTATGTGCACGAGCACATCCTCCATGACGCATATCATCCCTCTACGTCCTTCCCCCGAATGGCCTTGGGAGTCAGGGGTCTGTGGAGATGAGGAGATGGGTTGAATTAATTGTCTCAGAATGTCTGGCAGAGAGGTCTTTTCTCTACTTACTGTGTGTTGAACTTTGTATAACTAATGTTGAACTGTTTAGTCCAGAGCCCCACAGGATATGACACTGTGTGGACCAGAAAGACATTCAATTGTCTTGGATAATGAATTTGTCTATGAACTTCTTGTCAGTTTGTTACCAGGGAATGAGCCTTGACTTCTTCAAAGAGCAAGTGCAGCCCAGTGTTTCTTTTTCACTTCTAAGCAGAAAACCTAACAATGGAGTTAGCTGAATAGTAATAAGAGTCACCGTCACTGGGAAATGCCTGCCTATCATGTTTCAAATGATGAGAGAGAAACAGACAGAAAGAGAATACACAGTATGTGCACATATGACAGAATGTCAGCAGTCATTGGCACTGAGGCCAAACAGAATGGAGAGTGGCCATCCGATACACAGAACCAACACTGTATGTGAGCGTGTGTGTATCTCGAGGGAGTAGTTAATGTTTCTGAAACTCAGTCAGCCCTCTCTGTCTCTCTCTTGCCGCCATGTCTCTGCGCTGTGGTGCTGTGGGGTTGAGAGAGAGCGCGAGGAAGGGCAAAAGAGAGCAAGGCTCAGGAGAGAGAGATGGACATGCTGTGAGAAACCCTGCTGAGACAAGATAACACAGTAGGTACACCACGTCTCTACTCACATTTCCTGTCAGGAGGAAATGTGAGGGGGTTATATATACGATGGAGTGGCTTACACTAAATCATAAACAATAAATAAACATAAATCATATGAAAGAGGAATATAAAAGTGCTTTTCTACAAAATCCTTTTTTTCATTGGACAAAACAGAAGCCAAATTTCTAATTGTTAAAGGTCCAAACCTTACAAGGTCTTTGCTTTAATTAACTAGAGCTAAAATCGATACATTTGTTATTTAAATCAGGAACAATTTCATCAATCAAAACAATATTACAAATCTGACCCAAAAAAGCAACCTAATATGTCTTACCCTGTGGTACGGTTTGAATTGTTAATTTAGTTGAAGCGCTTCTATGATTTTTCTTTTCCCCCCTACAAATTCCCCTGTGCATTGGAAAACCATGAGTCGGTTGTTGCAGTGCTTCCAAGCACCTGCTGTAAAACTGATGGTCATATTGATGACAATGTCATTGTCGAATAATTGGACATTGAGTAGAATCTTGCCACTGCAGTCAACTACAGTCCGACAAGCTTTCCCTGAGAGCAGAGGATTCACTGTACCATATTTCATACCATATTACCTATCGTTATGCTGAGTGGAGCAACTTCTCTAATCCGCAGTTTAGTCTCGGGGTGAGTTAAATTGTTGCTAGCCCCCAGCACTAACAACTAGCAGAGGGAGTAGGGTATCTTTAGCATGCAGCAGTTGGTAGTTGCTGTTGATGCTTGCTCTGTTTCTCCCTCTGAGCCAGTGAGCTGGTGGTGGCTGCTGCTGTTGGGATAAGGACAACTAATTAGCCAGAGTGACTCTCTCTCCTCCTGAAGCAGCACAACTTCAAAGTCACTCTACTGTCCCCAAGCCCAGAGAGAGAAAGGAAGAGAGGGAGAGGATGGAGGAAAGGAGATAGAGGGGAGAGAAGTGTGTGTGTGTGTG